CCACCACCCAAGCCAGCCCAGTGCGCCTGGCCGACCTCCCTTGCCACCACCACGTCCACACCCACCTCAAGGAGAAAGGATACTGAAGAAGCACCGTGGAGCAAACGTGGCTTCCTGCCAGCAAGTCCCCAGCCCTGGGGCATCTCCCCTCCAAGCTGGAGCCAGGCTCAGGCTGCTCAGCACCTCAACAGGTCATGCTGGCCCTGGGGGGTCCTGCCTGGGCTGCGCAGAGTCCCCATCCTGTCCCTGTCCCAGTTGCTGACTGAGACCAGTTCTGGGTAACCAGAGCTGTAGGAGGCGAGAAACCACGTCTCCACCCTGAAACTGAAGGCGGTCGGATGCCAGCAGGGCCGGAGGGAGCCGGTGCTGAGCTGGACACGCTGCTGCCAGAAAGCAGATGCCTGAGCAGGGGAGATGAACTTTGCCTGACGGCCCTGAGCTGCCAGGGCGAGGGCTGAGCCGTCCCGCAGCCTCCCAGCCACTGTTCGCCCAAACCCCTCCATGCCCATGGGCCACAGCCACCCCCGGGGTGGATGCTCAGAAACTGCGGGTTTCTCCCTGCTGACTATAATCCGTCTTGCCCTGATATAGCCACTGACCTGGCAGGCATCTAAATTTAGCGGGATGAATCCTGCCCTGTGTTTGGAGTGCTGGTGCCCTTGAGGCAGCAGGACGGCGGGGATGGGGCCATAAGGACAGGTCTCCCCTGCAAGGCAGAGCCCCAGGACCACAGACCACCTCCTGCAGAGACTGGGCAGGCGGCAGGGGAGCGGAGGGAGGAGACGGGAGCAGGGAAATGGCACACTCGGGCTACGAGCCCATAAATAAGCGCGGCTCATAGCCGCTCAGCAGCCAGCCTGGCCCACGAGCCCAAAGCCGAGACGTGGCACGAAGCCCCCCTGCTCCCCCCCGTCCCTCCCCTGTGTCTCACGGGAGAAGCATCCGTGCCGGGGGGCCAAGGCAGCCGCGGGAGGGGCACGGGGGCCGCGGGCAGCTGCGGCAGCTGGTGCTGTCACTTGCCGAGGGACGTCGAGGGCAGACGGGCAGGGAGCCCGGCCAGGGTCCAGCCCTCGCACCCCTCGGGGGATGCTCTGCGGGTCCGAGCCGCGCTGCCGGCCGGGGCTGAGCACTCGCACTCGTGACACTTGTGAGCGGATCCTTCTGGGATGCCGGGGAGAAGCCGGCTGGGGGTGCGCACAGACAGACAGACGGACGGAGAGACACCCGTGCACGCCGGTGCGGTAACGCTGCCCTCTAACGGCCACCGGCCCCGCGTCCAGCCCCGTCGCACGGGCTCCCTCCCGCTCGCCCCCCGCCGCTGCTCGGTGTGGGTTGCAGGGGCTCGGAGGGACCCCGAGGCCCCGGCGCAACGCGGGGGCTCACCTGGACGTGGACCATGCCGCAGTCCCCGCAGGCGTCCGCGCAGCTCCCTGGCAGCACCAGGCACAAAACCCCGCGGCTGCCCTGGTCCAGCTCCGGCCACCCCAACGGGGACAGGGATGAGGGTCCCCCCGCGATGCTCTGCTCCGCCAGCACCGGCGCTCGGCTGACCCCACTGCCACGGGGGATCGGGGTCTGCAGGGAGACCCCCCACAGCCGCTGCCGCCGGCGCCGGGGCCT